CAACAACAAACAACAATGAAAGGGAACACTAAACCGGAAACAGAAAAGACGGCAATATGGTCATAATTGTCAAATAGCGTGTTCTTTTTCTTCTTTTTGTGCTACACGTGAAGGACAAGCACTTGATCACCAGCAGAATGCTGTGGCAGCCTAGGTACTTCAACTGAAAGGCGTCTCATTCTACTTCTTTCCTGCTGGTATGGCTGATAACAGAATTTGTGCATGATATCTATGGCTGTTTTCGCTAGCCAGTCCCAGATTGTCTGAACCAGCTGGGATCCTAATAGTCGACACAGTGAAAACAATATAGATACTGAGAACAGAAATGGGCAAAGCGAGTATGGGAGGAGGACGGATGTTATGGATGCCAATAAAAGGGAAGCAAAGACAGCCATGCAGCCATGCAAGAAGCAGGTATATCTCGGAGAAGGAGAAGGAGGATGCCGATGATTGGAAGAAATTCTTAACGTTGCCTAGTAGGATAAGCGATACAGAGACAAACTGGTAATAGCTGCCAGCATGGTCAGTGGATGTGTTTCAAATGGAGATCCTAGTTTGCCTTGATACTTGCGTTGGAGAAAGTTAAGCAACACAGCGAGAATGAAGGCAAATAGGCCTGGTCAGAAGACACCATATCATTCATGTGAATGCCAAAAGCATTCAAGTTTCTCGTGGAGCTGAAGGTGCTGTCCTTGAATTCTTCATGAATCTGAACAATATAATTTGTCCTTGCGTCCTCTGCCATTGGCCTACTACTAACTGATGTCCGCACCTATATTTAGAAAAGAAAGGAGATGAAGAGGCAAGCATCAAAAAAATTCTGTGACCAGCATGAAACTGAAACTAAGATGATGAATACCCAAACTTACAGCTTAATCAAGTGTGTAGCAAGAACTATCGAGCCTGGGATGTGAGCTCCATATACTTGTGTAGCTAGCTGTGGTGAAATTTCTAATTTTGTGATGAATTTTAAAAAAATTCTACAAAAGGAGTGATTTTGGTAATGGATTCCGTCTGGGGGGTCTTCGCATTCGTGAAATGCGAGCTCAGTAGAGCTCGCATTTCACGGATGCGAGGTTAGAATAGAGCTCGCATTCGCGAAATGCGAGCTCTACTTATTGAGCTCGCATTCCACAAATGCGAACTCTAATTTAATGTTTCTTTGCATGAACTCCTAGTTTGCTGGTTCAGACTTGCGGCTTTGAAACTTTATCTACTTCAGTTGCTGTTTGGTTGTCTTTGTTTGGCCGCAAGTTCTGATCTGCTGAGATTTGTGTTTATAATCAATAACCCTGGTTTCATTTGAAGTGTTCAGTGTTAAGGGGTATTTGGGGTGATAGGTTCACTAGTTTTGTTTGAAGCTTTGCATGATTTTTCTGCATCGAAATTTGCAGAAGCATTGTTGTTGAAGAAAAAACTGTTCTTTGATGCTCGCATGATCCTTTCGTCTAATTTGTTTTGTGCTTAAACATAAGGATTTTTGCGGCTAAAAGATGGAAAATGTTTAGAATTTTTATTACTATAGTCTAAGTGTTGATTGTTCAAGTCATTAGTTGCAGTCGGATGAAAGGAAACTACATCAGACACCATAAAGGCTGTGCCGCGAGCCTGCTGCCGAACCATCTTGCATGAAGTATTTTCAATATTTGCATGATTTCCTGCTTGTCTTGGCTCTCAGTGAACTCGCATTTCCGGAATGCGAAGACCCCTATTTGCAGAATACACTCCAAGAATCGCCCTCGTTGTAGAATTCTTTTTTTTTTTTCCATCATAAACTAAGAATTCACCCGCTAGCTGTGTGGTGCCATCATATTGTTTCATTTCTTTTAAAGACGTCGAGTACCTGGATTTACGGAACTAATTAACTAGGATACTGGTTTAAGAAAAAAGATAAAAGTAATTTGAGGCTTAATTACGGTGCCAGTTAGGTTTCCACTGCAAAAGACATAAAACTAAACCAGGGTTCGGAGTCTGAGCGTGGGTCTTCGTGAAAGTTCTTGGCCAAAATAATAATGCTTTTGCACCTTTTTATTGGCACTTTTTTGAGTTTTGCTGCAAGGAAACGTGTCAACGGAATCACTGAAGTGATCGAGGTAGCTCCGTCAGTTTCAGTTAAGTGTGTAATAGACTTCAAAATTTTCTTTTTTTTTTGAAGAACTGTGTAATAGACTTCTAGCATCAAGGGAAGCACCTGAGTCAGAGAAAAAGGTATGATTGGAGGGGCATTTGGGAATGGTTATAGTATGATTTTTGGTCATTGTTCTTTACTCTTTCCCAGGTCTTGAAGGTTTTAAGTCATTACACATCATCCTGAGTCAGACAAAAAACTTCTGCTTTGTTCAAAAAGAGATGGTCCCTGAAAGTGCCTAAAGAGCTTAAAAGTACTAACCTACTTTTGGAGGATGGCCAAGCACAACTTGGTGGTGGAAACTCTTGCTGCTATTTATTGAATTCACATTTAATTGATCCAAAGTTGTACTTATTGAAGGGCCATGTAATTAAATGGGATCAACCAACTAATAAAAAGGTTTAGCAGCTAAAATACCGAGTTGATGTGATGGAACTACCTGGCTTTTAAACTTGTACAAAATGGTATAAAAGAAAGGGAAATTGTAGTAGCCATTCTCATCATGGTTTTGTCTTTTGTGAAGGACAGCAAACCCCCTTGGGATTTTGGAGATTTTAAGCAGTGCAATTGCAGTCCTAACTTGGTACTCCATTAGGTGGTTAAAATCCAGTCATGTCTTCAAAACTTCTAAAAATTGCCCAAAGACAATAATGTTCTTACAACCCACTACTTTTGGCCCCCATGTAGCATGAGGATCATGGTCAATCTAAGCCCCCATGACAGCGATGTCCTTTCTTATTCTTGCAGTAATATAGAAGAAGCACTTTGCTTCGTTACTATAGGATTAAGCTTCATTTTGTAACCAAGCTGGAAATAGCCGCCTACGCTGAAGCAATATCAGGTGATCTTCTTAATTTTTTGTACTTCATTTTTTCTAACCTTCTGGTGTTTCTATTAACTTCGGCTGTTGTTAAATCTTTGTATCCTACTTTTGCTGCTGTTAAGGATATTTTTAGCTACTCTTTTTTTTTCTCCCTGTTAAGGCCCTTTTTTAGTCTATTGTTTTGTTAGCTGATTATACAAAAGATATTCATTGATTTTGTTTCGGTTCTGTTATATCATGTTGATATCAGGAATTGTGATCGTGTCTCCAAACTTGTTTTCCACTTAGTTGTTGTTCAAGTTATCTTTTGTTCACTCTACTTCTTTTTTCTGTTCTTTTTTTTTCCTTTTTTTACATGCATGCATTCATTTTTCTTTCTTACAATGCATGCTCATGCATTATTCAAGTCTAGTCGTTTGTTGAAAGGTATTTAGTTCTTTCGCCTTTTTTTTTTTGGCCCCCTTTTTCTGTTTTTTACGCTATTGCTTTGTAAGTTACTTGTATAAAGGATGTTGTTTCCTTTTCCTTTTATTTTCCTCCTATGGATTTTTTACTTGCTGTTTTATGTTTTTTACATGTGTCTTGTTGGTATAAACGACTGCTATGGTGATTTTATGTGTACATGTTTACCCGCTTAGTTCTTCTTTAAATAACGTCTCCTTCACTCTGTTGTCTTCTTTTTGGGGGGCTTTTTTCTTTTAATAATGCTCATACGTTGCTCATGCTGCATGTTAGTATGAAGATTGTTTCTTGCTCTCATGATCTTCAAATTTATGCTTGGTAATTACTGTTCTCATATTCTTCAGCAGCTATTTCACCTTGTTCTTTTGGGCTTGCTTGTTTCATCAATGGATATTCTGCTACATTCTTAATCACTTATCGTTGCAGTTAATAAGCCATCCTTAATGGTATATCAAGTTATATTTTGATCATGCTTTGTAATTTACTGCTGTGTTTGTTTTTGCATCTTCTTGTGTGATCATTGCTTTGTATAATTTGTTTGATTGACAGTCTCAATCTCACGTGTCTTTATTTTTTGAGCTGGAACCTTGTGATGCCTTGAGTTCTATTTTCTTCTCCTAGTAAAATCCAAAGTTTCAGCTATCAATTTCCCAAATATTGGCAAATAAATATCAAAATAGCTGATAAACATCATGGAGGTTGTGTTATTGAACTTGAAAAAACCTCGACCATGCCAAGAATTAAAAATAGCCAATCTACACCCCACATTTCTTAATGACTTGTATAATCTCTAGCACTTTGCTCCAAAATTCCGTATTCAGCAGTTTTCGTTCTGCATATAATGATAGTACACCTAAGTAATCGTGCTTAACTTTCTTAGGGCAACAATTAGTTTAATAACCACTTTAGCATCCTCAATGAAACAAAGCACTTGATTTAATTAAAGAAACATAAGTGGCAGTTAAAGGCTCATAACTAAGTCAAACCTTCCATGAGGATATCTTCTTCTTCTTCTTTTTTTCACTTAGGGGTATCCCAATCTTTCGTCTAAACTCATTCTCTAATATTATGTAGAGTCTTGCCTCAAAAATACACAACGAAACAGCACATAAGGAGATCAATTACAGAACTTATTGGTAACCATCAGACTATGGAACGAGTCGAACCACCGCGGGTGCACGAGGATATCTAGTGTATGGACTTCTTGGCATGACAAAGCGATATTTGACATATACAGTTCATGAAAACTCCCCCGTAATGGCTAAGATCTTCTATGATGGTATCATAAAAGATTAATAATATGTTTGAATTGTTATTTTTTAAAATTTTTATAAAAAAAAATATATTATAATAATTTGATATATATAAAATAAAAATATAACTGGAAAATGTATTTATAAAAAATATAAAAAAAAATTTAGAGAGAAATTGCGATGCTAACAAGGCCTAACAGTCGCCTAAAATTAGAGTTACTTTTGCTTATTACTATTGAAATCTACACACTCAAAGAAGTCTTGCTATTTCCTTCTAATACTTTGTGCCCTTGCAATTAATTATGTCTGACTGTGACAATTGACAAACCATCACCCATTATGGGGGCAAAATGATCGTGATTTTGAAATCACATGGGCTAACAACTTGGATTTGTGTTGGATCAAATTGCTTCGATCTTTCGTACGTTGGAACCAAATATATCAATTTAGAACTTGAAAGTTCCTTTCTGATCCATTTTTCTTGATCCAATGTAGTACTACTTCATTGCGACTTATGTGAATTTATGAACAGCTAACTAACGAGTAACGACCAATCCAAAACCTTTTGATTCTTCCCAAGAGGAAATATGGAGCCACTGAATCCCATCAGAAGCAACAAATGGAGAAAAAGAGAGAATCAAAATCAGCGTCCCAAATCAAAATCCTTCTCACTCTTTATCCTTCTTTCTTGCTCTCTTCTTCTTTTCATTACGTACAAGCGCCTTCTTCCCCCATCCGTGCTTTCAATTTCAGGTAATTCCGAACAAGTCCTCGTTCCTCCACAATGCACAAGTTCAGAAGAATTCAGGGGAGAAAAGTTCCTCTGGTACGCACCTCACAGTGGCTTCAGCAACCAGTTGTCGGAGTTCAAGAACGCGATTCTAATGGCTGCGATTCTCAATCGAACGCTAATTGTGCCTCCCATTCTAGATCACCACGCTGTTGTTCTCGGTAGCTGCCCCAAGTTTAGGGTTTTAAGCCCTAGTGATCTCAGATTTTCTGTCTGGAATCACTCTCTCGATCTCTTACGAAATCATAGGCAAGTTCGAATTTTTATCCAGATGAAAATGTGGGATGACGTTTTCTATTATTACAATTACTATTATTTAATGATAGTGCCTTTTTGTTTGAGAAAAAGGATTTGTGGGTTTTAGTTCAAGTTAGAAAAAGAAAAAAAGAGTAAATTCCTGTTACAATTGCCTGTGGGCTAACGTTTGTTTTCATATGATTTTTTTATAGGAAAATGTTTATTGGTTTAGCTTGAATTAGAGAAAACAAAAAGGAGGAATTTCATTATATATATTTCTGAACTGTGCACTATATGCTTTTTGTGAAAAAGGGTTTTATTTATGGATTTAATTTATGATTTTGGAAATACCTTTTTTAAGTAGAATATGTATGTTTGTTGTGATTTCTTCCTAATATGTACTAGTGATTAACTGGAGTCAAAATTAAATGCGGTTGTTGCTGAAGATGGTATCGTATGTAAAGATAGAGTTTGGCCATTTGTTGACTGCTAATTCGAGTGTTTAATCAGCATCTTTGTTCTATTTCTCTGGTTTTTCAGGTATATTTCCATGACTGATATAATAGATATTTCATCAATAGTGTCTGATTCAACAGTTAGAGTCATTGACTTCAGAGTTTTTGTATCTAAGTGGTGTGGTTGGAGCATAGATGGTGTGTGCCATGAGAGTTATCGGACTCGCCAACGTGGTGGGAACAATTTAGGTCTTGAGCGTACTTTGTTTGAGGATATAAGGAAATGTGGGTTGTTACTGTCTGGTTATAATGGTAGTATGAGTAATTGTGTGTATGCTGTAGATGAAGATTGCAGAACAACAGTTTGGACATATCAAAAAGATGTTGAAGATGGGATTTTGGATCCATTCCAACCAGATGATCAACTTAAGAAGAAAAAGAAAATTTCTTTTGTTAGGAGAAGAAGAGATGTATATAGGGCACTTGGTCCTGGGTCTGAAGCAGAATCAGCCAAAGTTCTTGCATTTGGAACCCTCTTCACAGCCCCATATAAGGGCTCTGAGTCATATATAGATATCCATGAAGCTAGAAAAGATCCTAGGATACAGTCCGTGATGCAGAAGACTGAGTTTCTTCCTTTTGTCCCTGAAATTTTAGAGGCTGGGAAAGAGTTTGCTCTTCAGAAAATTAAGGCTCCTTTTCTTTGTGCACAACTTAGATTACTGGATGGGCAATTTAAGAACCACTGGAAAGGGACGTTTCTTGTGCTGAAGCAAAAATTAGAGTCTCTGAAACTGAATGGTCCTCCACTGATTCATATTTTTGTGATGACTGATCTTCCGATGAGTAATTGGACAGGAACCTACTTGGGCGATTTACTCAAAGATTCTGATGCTTTTAAGATATCTGTTCTAAGAGGAGATGATAATTTAATTGTAGAAACTGCTAACAAGCTCATGGATATTGCTCGAGGGAAGAATTTGGAGTCTGTTTCTAAGAGGTCATATACGGTAGATAATCACTGTGATCCCCAGTCATTTACTGATATATTGTTATATGTAGAACAAACAGTTTGCAGCTGTGCTTCTCTTGGCTTTGTCGGCACTACTGGATCAACAATTGCAGAAACTATAGAGTTGATGAGAAAATATAAGGCATGTTCAGGCTGAATCTTTTTTGGGTAGGTATCAGGCTGAAGCTTTCCTATCACAATTGCTGACTTCCTATTAATTGGATTGAGATTCTTTGAGAACTTCATCAGCCTACCTGGGGGTCAAGTGTCACATCATGCATTCAGTTCACCCTTGGAAACCAAGTTGCACTCCTGGGCATTGTTTTGTTTTTATTCATAATTTGGAATCTGAGCTCTTTCATTTGGTTGTGGAAATGGAGGATGAAATTTGACAATCCTGCTGGTTGGACTTAATCGAATTGAGTGCGGAACTGGGAATTTGCAATATTGTAGAATTTGTGACATATTGATGGAGTGATACCCACATGGGTTATACTTGTCAGTTTGGTGAAAAAGTTCTCAAGACTGCAGCAAGTTTGTCTTTACCAAGCATTATGGTGCTCAATAGATTTGAAGTTTAATTTTTCGCCTGCACACATGATAAACTCTTAGATGCAAATGTGTGAAGAATACTTTCTTAATTCAACAATCGTACCTGCTCCTTGATACTAAGTATCATGTCTTGTGACTTCAAAGGAGATAACAGATGTATAAATAAGACATATTATGTGGGAAGTGGGAACTATGGTTCATTGACGATGTTCTTTTTCACAGTTTTACACATTGAGGGCAGCCAAGGGCTGCATGATTCATTTTTTGGTGTACTTTGTATTAAAAGTGGTACCCTCCGTTAAAATTGAAGTGGAGAGCTGACTATTGTTGATTGTTCCTTTTATCCATCTTCCTAAACTTTCATAGATTAGTTTGCAGCAAACTTGATTGTATCTTTACTTGATGTTTCCTTTTCTGAAATGAGGTCATAAATAGTGGCTTTGAATATTTATGTTGTAGTAGGATGTATTGTGCCTTATTGTTCCTTATTTATATGGTTTCTCATCTCAAAATCACATTTACATTTAATTGCTCGTGTTTTAGGTTGTTAATATGTTGTTTCAGATGCAGTTAATTTGCCAGCACTGTAGTGTTCTTTTGCTGATGTTAGCTGCTTTCCTGTTTCCTAATCTTGGACTCTTGTTTAGGTTGGTTGTGACTGTGTCATGTCCTACACTCGCCTCCTGTAGTTTGCTGTCATTCTAGGAGTCCCCTGATGTTTAGGAAATTTCAGTAACCTCATTTCCTTCTCTTTTTGCCTGTGTATTCTATTTTCATGACCTCCCTCCTCTATGATTTCCTGAACGGTATTTTTCAACGAGGAATACAGTTGGGTAAGATTTACCTAACGTGCAAAAAATTGTGGAGAAGTCATTCTAATTCAAAGGAAGACTAGCATTTGCTGTCATGGTTTATCATATTTGAAGAGCTCGGAATGTTGCTTTGTTTCAATTGAAACCAGTGATAAATGTGGGTATTCTGATGGAAATTGTGGATGAAATCCAACATGTGATGCATCCCTGGGGGAAAAATTCCAAAGAACTCAAGAAACCTGGAAGTTGGGCCTTGAATGGGGCTTATCCCCAAAATGTTTCTCCTAGTTCTTGCTGTACATAGTTTGCGTTCCTGTACTTGAGGTTCTTATTTCTCTTTTAAAGCTAAAATTTCTTACATCAATAAAAGTTTGCAATTTTGCCTTAAATAAAAATTCAAAGGAAGACCTTCTGGGGAGGTCTTTTTATATTATGGCACTGTTTGATTTACCTTATTCAATCTTGTGTTTGTGTTTTTTTGGCATGCTTGGTTCTATCCAACTCCTTGTGTTTGTTTGGCATGGTTGTAGGGGCCTATGTTTGCCTTGTTTTGTAAATATTAAGCAATTATTCTGTCTATGCACTGCCTTTCTTCCGGGAAAAAATGAAAAAAAAAATAGCTTCAACGAATTCCTTGTATATCTTACGAAATCGAAGGATGTATAGGAGATATGCTTTTCAAATCCTTAGATGAACAATGAATAAACCCAATGGATAAGCAATCGATGTGCAAACTGCAAAGTTTCATATACCTTATCTTCAACAAATTAGCATCAATCAATCCTTGTGTTTGTTTGGTATGCTTGGTTCTATCCAACGTCTAGTCACATGAGTTGGTTGCTTGGTTCTATCCAACGTCTAGTCACATAAGAAAGTAGTTCAACTTCTGGCAACATGAAAACGAACTTCAATTTATTGAGGATGGTTGTAGGGGCCTATATTTGCCTCATTTTGTAAACTCTTAACCGGTTGTTCTATCTATGCACCGTCTTTCTGACCCCTAGGTAGGATTATAAACCATCCGTACTCTTCACGAACAGTTCAGACTCAATTCTTAAGACTCGTTCGTTAAGAGTTGGACTCGAGTTCAAGTTATTCGAGTTTGATTTTTAATGAACTTGAACTCGAATTCAAATTTGAATCAAAATTATAATTCATTTATAATATCAAATTAAGTTCGAACTTGTAGATATTCGACTTGTTAAAACTCAATTCGATTGGAATAATTTTTAATATTTTTTTATTTAAAGTATGTGTTAATACTTTATATAAAATTATACACTTATTATTTCATTATATAGATATTATATACGTATTAGTGATAATTTAATATTAAAATTGAAGAATTAAATAAAATTTTGACCTTTTGAATCGAGTTCGAACTGTGGAAAGTTCGAATCGATTCGATTCGATTCGATTCGTTTAATGCACTACCCCACCCCCCCCTCCCCTAAAAGAAAAAGAAAAGAAAAAAGACAAACTTCAACGAATTTCTTGTATATCTAATGAATACGAAGGATGTATGCTTTTCAAATCGTTAGATGCAGTGAATAAACCCATTGTATTTGTTGATAAGCTAGAATTTTTTTACAACTATGGGTTTATTGATTGCATTTATCAATAAACCCCTTTGGGCAAGTCACAATTCAACTACCATCCGTAGAAACACATAGTTAATTAAAAAAAAATTCTAGCTTACCAACTAATATAACCTGCTATTTTGTTGCTTCCATCCTTGAGATGTTTGAAGTTTCAACAAGAAATCTTGATTTATTTCGACAGATGGATCTCCTAAACGTCCCTTCTTTTGTCAAGTTTTGATTAGTTGAAAGAGGGCTTTGCTTATGCTCTATGTTTTTGACGAGGAGCATGGCCATTCCAACGCAAACACGCAGAAAACTAGAGACAATGACGGCTCTTCCTTTGGTTGGCAACATAATAAATAGGGAAAAATCCACTTTTTCGTCTTTAAACTTTGAGTTAGGAATATATTTCATCCCCAAACTTTTAGACTCATTCAAAATAAACGGCCACGTAGGCCTCCTCTATTCAAATTGAATATTTTATCGTTTTTGGACTAAATGTAGCTCAAAATAATTAATTCATGTACTAAATGTGGTGCGTCTAAAAGTTTGGCGACAAAATGTGTCCCTAAAGTTCCATTGTTTGATAGTATGAGTGACCTAATTTTGTCTACTTTTGTTCAATGAATTTCTTCTAGACTTACATCCAGCTTTCTCTTCTAGTTCTATTGGATTGCCATTTTCTGCCAGAAAATTGCATCGTTTTTCGTAATCATATTTCCCTATTATCTTTTTCCCTCACATATATCAAATCGCTACAGTAATTTTCTCATGAAAAATGACGGAAAATGCAATCCAAATGAGGCCTTAGATGAACTCCCAAGCAAATCAAGCAAAGCCGCTAGCTATGACATGTTTCTCCAAGTGCACGAACGCTTTCACACTCTGTCTTTGTACGTTAGATTTTTAGAAATAAGGGTCACATAATCATCTAATGTGACTTGCCATCTTAATTAAGAAATTGTTGTTTTGCCCCAGTAACTTTGAGAAAACAATAGTCCGACAAAAGGATTTGATTTAATTGGATGCTCAATTAAACACGCCTGCTAGCATTATTGTAATTTGGAATCGATTCTTTATCGAGAATTAAAAAAAAAATTTGGTTAGAAACACGTAAAAGTCGTAATTTTAGTTAGCTGAGTTTCTTATTTTGCAATTCATAGTAACATTAATCTATCATATTTGATATTTTTTTTCCAAGTTTTTATTGATTTTACGATTTTATCCGGTATGAATGTATTTTCTTGATATAACAATAAGTTATTCAATGGAGCAAGTCACCATATCCACAACCCAGTGCGTGAATACTTCTGCCAACCCAACTAAGTACAAAAAAATTACTTCACTTAAATGCCCAAAACCTCAAGCATATAATTCAGGATTCTTTAATTAATATGTCTGATAAATGACAAGAATAACAACAACAAAAAAAGAAAAAGAAAACAAAAGCACCAAAACAATGCAAAAACACAACGAAATAATTGAGCATCATTTGATGGTCTCACTCGCTATCCATTCGCCGGGGCAGTCGGGGCAGAATTTTCACGTGTCAAATGTGTTTGGAAAAATGAATGAATGGCAGCCCTCAAATGGCGACAATTCCTTCTCGGCAATTTAGAGGTTTGAAACCATATAATACGAAATAAACACTTGAGGGAAACAAACCAATCAATTAGGGGGTAGGATCAGGGAACCAAGCAAGAAAGAAAGTTCCAAAAGAGTTTTCCTTTCCTTTTTTGTAAGTAGGGATTGTTCCCGTTGAGTATTTGAATTGATTATAGATTCAAATTTTGGATAATCAATTTTTAGGACGTTTTCAGTTGATTTTGTATTTATGATTATAGATTTCTAAAGATTAATCTGAATCAGCAAAAGCTACTCCTTAAGTGATTATAGATTTTAACTTTTTAGAACATTAAAGACAGTTTATAATTAGAATACAAAATCAACTAAGAACGCCATGAAAACTGATTATTCAAATTTAGGATTTGAAATGAGTTAAAATAATTAACTGATAATAAGCCTAAAATTTATAATCGCCTAAAGAGTTGTCTTGTTTTTGCTCATTTGATTATTCTCTATAATTAGTTATCAAATTTTATAAAATCTAAAGCAACTGAGAATAAGGCCACAGTTAATCTACAATAGCTCATTTTTAGAAGTTATAATAAGCAAGTGCTATTAATATTTTTCTTTTCATATTTTGTACATTCAATGGACAAAAGAAGTTATCATATAATCACGCCATTATCTGCATCTTAAGTTTCAATATTCTTTCAATGCACAGAATAAATTATAAAAATGTTTATATATATATGTATGTATATATATATATATATATATAAGCAATACAGGCAAGAATGGTATAAATACATCAATTTATAAATAAAAAGAAAAGAAAATCCAAATCTTCTTTTGTTAAAAACCACAAATACAAGTCAATGCTGACCTGTCTGACGATACAGATCCACCTAAGCGTCCATATGTCTATCTACATGAGCGGGATATCTAAAATAATTCATCGGCAATTACCTTCCTCGGGAAGTGCGATTTTCCTTTACTTTGGCTCCTTATCCCTAATTAGTAATCACAACCGAATTTTGTAACACGGAAATTCGCCGATTATACGATCACCAATAGATTATAATTGCAGCAAGATTTCTGCATCTATATCTGAATTGGGTCGTGTTTGTTTGTACAATAGTTGGAAATTTTTTTTTCTAGAGGGAATGGAAGGAGTAGATTACTTAGCTGCTGAGAGGAAGAAGACGGAGTTCGATGTGGAAGAGATGAAGATTGTGTGGGCGGGCTCCCGCCACGCCTTTGAAGTCTCCGATCGCATTTCCAAGCTCGTTGCCAATGATCCTGTATTTTTTCTAGTTTTGAGCACTTTTTCTTTTTTGGGTTCTTAATTTAGATTTTCTCTACTCTTGAATATTTCACTGCAGTGAAGTAGGAAAATAAACCGGAAAAAATTTTAGTTTTGAAGTTACTCTAATTGCTTTTGCTGTCTTTTTTTTTTTTTTTGCTTTATTTTTTGGAAAAGAATTAGTTGCATTATAACTGAAAGGTGTAAAAGATCGAAACTTTTAAAGCATGTGGTAAAAGACGATGAGCTCATGCTTTTCAATCTTTTAGCTTTTCTTGATAAATGGGGAAAGAAAAGGAATTAATTAAAAGTGGACGGGTAAAGATTCTGTTTTTTAATCCCCTTTTATCTTTTTGTGTTAATGCTATGTAAGCAAAGTCAAAATGATGGTATCTTTTGGTTTTAGCTGATTATATCAGTGGCTTTCTATGAATTTGAGGAATTAATACTGTAAGATGGCTAGTTTGTAATTAACTATGCAACAATTGATTAGGCCAACAATAAAGAACAGCTTTTTCTTTTTTAAACTGAAACAAAGTGGCCCCTTTTATCGAATGAAGTGTATAGTTGTTTAAGCGAGAGAAAGTAAAAACAGATGCGGGAATTCTGTCATTTCGGCATTTAGTTGTGTTTTAGAATGTTGTCTTCTTATTGTGTTTGGTTTTGGGATTTAGGCCTTCCGGAAGGATGAAAGAACTATGCTTCCTAGGAAGGAGTTGTTTAAAAACACTCTTAGGAAGGCAACTTATGCATGGAAACGAATCAATGAGCTTCGTTTATCCGGTATTCATTCCTGTGATTTTTTGGTGAACTGTTAGCAACATTGGTTCATTTGTGCAATCATGTTTAATTTATATTTGTCTCTTTAATTTTACATTTGCAGAGGAAGAGGCTTCAAAACTCAGGTTTTATGTCGATGAACCTTCCTTTAC